CTAACCTGGACTGGCTGGGGTGGTGGCATGCACCTGTAATCCTTAGGGAAGTAGAGGCAAGAGAATTTAGGAGTTTGAGGCTATCTGCGAAAGTCCCAAACTTTTTTTCTTTCCTTTGTCTCAAAAGGAAAAAAAAAAGTTAGATATTGTACACATCTGTGGAATTATCACAATGAAATCCCCTCAAACTATTACGGTACAGTAATGGAAAAGTAAAATTAAATTAAAAAAATAACAACAGTTTTGTCGCTGGTACCAGAACTTAAACTCGGCGCCTCATGCCTGCTTAGCTGATGATCTACCAATTTAGCCAGACCTACAATCCAACTTCTTGCTGGTTATTTTGGGGGTTGAGTTTTGAGGACTTTTTTGCCCAGGCTGGCTTTGAATCTTAATCATTTGACTCTCTTGAGTAGCTAGGATTACAGGTGTGAGCCACCAGTGCCCAGCTAAGAAAAATGATTCTTGACAGATATGATGAAAAGGATGTTATTATTATTATTGTTGTTGTTGTTCTAAAAAAGGTTAGCCCTTACAGAACTTGACTCATGCTGAGAGGAGATACAGGCAAAGATACAGAAGCACATTTTCCCTTTGGACTTTCCTGGTGAAGCGTTCGCTTTACTGCAGAGACTATTAGTTTTATAGACTACTTTCAAAATGTGGAAAAAATATGAAAGTAAAAACATACTACTTTTTTTTTTTTAACATAGTGCTTTTCTAGCTTTTATCATTATTATTTCTCTGTTGGTCATGAGGCTTGAACTCAGGACTTGGATGCTGTCCCTGAGCTCTTTCACTCAAGAGCTAGCACTCTATCTCCTTGAGCCATAGCCCCACTTCTGGCTTTCTGGAGGTTAATTGGAGATTAGAGTATCATGGGCTGACTGAAACTGGATCTTTTTATCTCAGCCCCTGAGTAGCTAGGATTACAGGTGTGAGCCACCAGCACTTAGCTGAGATGATCTTTTATTCTTGAACCTTATTATTATTATTATTTTCTAGGCACTGTCCCTTAGCCTTTTCACTCAAGGCTGGTACTCTACCACTTGAGCCACATTTCTACATCTGAGTTTTAAATGGTTAATTGGGAATAAGAGTTTTATGGCTTTGAACCATGATCCTCAGATTCAACCTACTGAATAGCTAGAATTATAGAAATAAATCATGAGTTCCTGAATTATCAGCATAATTATTGTTTCTTGGGCTGGGAAGGTGGTTCAGTGGTAGAGTGCTTGCCTTGCATGCATGAGGCCCTGGGTTTGATTCCTCAGCATCACATAAGCAAAAAGAAAAAAGCCGGAAGTGGCGCTGTGGCTCAAGTGGTAGAGCGCTAGCCTTGAGCTGAAGAGCTGAAGGACAGTGCCCAAGCCCAGAGTTCAGGCCCCATAACTGGACCCCCCCCAAAAAAAACACCCCAAAACAAATAATTATTGTTTCTTTCATACTCCCTTAGTCTTCATTTTTCCAAAGCATTTGGAGTCCCATCCCTCCCTTTGGTGTGTGTGTGTGTGTGTGTATGTGTGTGTGTGTGTTGGTCCTGGGGCTTGAACTCAGAATCTGGGTTCTGTACCTGAGCTCTTTCATTCAATGCTAGTGCTCTACCACTTGAGACACAGCTCCACTTCCAGGTTTTTCCGTGGTTAATTGGAGATAAGAGTTTCATGAACTTTACTGCCCAGGCTGGCTTTGAACCATGCTCCTCAGATCTCAGATTCCTAACCACATAAGATTACAGGTGTGAGCTATTAGCACCTGGCAAGAGAGATTTTTGAAGATGAATTCAATTTAGTATGCATATAATTTTCATTTCATTAGTTAATTAAACTTCGTATATCTACGTATGTCTATGTGTAGGTCGTTGGACAAATGAATTGTGGATTTTGGATATGAGAATTTCCTTTACTTAGATGTGTATGTAACATTTGTTAGATAAGTGTGTGTTTCCAATGTATTCTGTTTATAAGGTATAAGCATGGACCCTCTGTAATCTGTAGTTCTGTAGATATTCTTGTAGTCTGAATCAAAATCATAAATGTGATCATATTAGCTCAATGGCATCTGCTGTACGCATGAAGTCTTTCTGATGACAGCATTGCTTGCTTTGGCTCACATCCTTTCCCAGCCATTATTTGATAAATGTTGCCTATGAAAATCTGACATCAACATTGTACTCAGAAACTGACATGAATTGTACAACTACTTACAGATAATTTTTAAAACATCTGACATTAAAAAAAATACAAAAGAATTTAAACAAATCTGAAACCAATAAGGGTAAATAATGACTCATTACCGCTTTGAAGATAATCCACATTTTTAAGCTTTCTGAAGCGGGCGTGACCACAGGGTTCCTTTACCTCAAATAGCCAAAGCCTAAGATCATGCCGCAGAGCTCAGCTGACCGGAAGGAATGCAATTGGTCAGGGTGTATGTGGCTGATACAGCCTATACTTTTAGGAATGTGATGTTTAGATTCTATCTAGAGGTGGTGAAGAGTAAACACAGTCTTTTTTTCTCCTTCCCTCTAAGATCTTGGAATACTTCCATGCTATTTATAGTGTTGATACTTAAAGCCAGTGTGCTGGCTTATGTGTCAAGTTTGCAGGATTTTTCCCTACCAGACTGTTCACTTAACTGGGAAAGCATGTATGGATGGATGACAGCGTCAATACAAAAGGGAAAGGTTTTCTCTGCTTTGTTTGCATGCTTTGCTTGACATAGAATTAACAGGCACAGAACTTGGGCTCCTCAAATAGCTTCAAGTTTTTCTTTGTTGATCTATCATTGAAATTGCAAAATCATATTGTATGAGTTGCATAGGTAAAGAGATTGAATTCTTGGTTCAGATCCTGTGTTCAAATTTATGAGTCCCATACGTTTTATGAGTTATTTATTTCCTTGTAGGCTCACTCATCTAGTATATTCTCTACACAAGTCTTCATAAGGAAGTACCTAGGTCTCAGCTTTTTTTAGAACAACAACAATACTAATATCAAGTAAAAATGGCTGTTTTAGAGAGCTGTTTTAAGAGAAACATAAAACTAGCGGTGGAAAATGAAGATTTGGGTTCTCCCAGAGGCAGAACTAAACATAAAAGGGTAGGGGGCAGGGGATTGTGAGAAAAGTCAATTTTTCTATCAAAGTGGGTTGCTCAACAGTTCTTGATTGGGCTACCAACTTAGCTCGAGTTGATTATTGTAAGACAATTTCAGCAAATAAAGTAGCAGAGGGTGTGAGTAATGTATACATCCTACTCTCTTCAAACTAGCCAATCATGAGGTAATTGTGAAACACATCTCAGCCAATTGGAGAAGACGGGCGGGGTCTGCTGTGTTACAGGTAGAAAGGGAGCAGCCTACTGCTCTTTATGCTTGCTTGCCAGATTTTTGGCTGGTGACACTTTCTTCTGCAAAACTAAACTTTGCCTTACTGAGTTCTTTAGAGGTAGTGTCCTTATTCCAATAACACACCCCAACATCCTGACCCATACCTAACAGGAATGCAGGCTGATTATCTTGGGCTTGGATCCTGTGGATGCACAACATTTCTTTATGTGTGGCCAGAGCTTCGTCTTCAGGCCGGATCTGTTTGCAAAGGAGGTTGGGAAATACCGGCTAGCTGGGTAATCTAGTATCTAACTATAAGCTAATCAAAAGAGAGAATATTAGTCATCTTTGTAGTATCTATTTTAGGCTGCAATTCAGCTTCTTGTACATCTCATCACCGAAAAAGGGGCAGGATAAGGAACTGTCAATTTGTATGTAGCCTTTTACACACATACTTCATGAACCTAGTTTTGCATGTCACCTCAGATTTCTCCTTCTGACAATCATGTAGAATTGCCTAATAACATACCTGAGCTTCTCATACTTCTATAGAGTCATTAGCTTTAAGGTTTTATCAGTAAGATATTCATATTGGGGCCTGCTTAATATTATTTTTTCTTCTTTTCCACTTCCTCCTAAATAACTCGATTCATTGATTGAACAAAAAAGGAAGTGAAATAGGAATGAATGAAATCATTACTGAGAGTCCCCTACTGCCATACAGAGCGACATTATAAGCACAAGTTACTTCATTTTATTCTATTTATTTAATGCCAGTACTGGGGCTTGAACTCAGGGCCACCTGCTTTTGTGTGACTTTTTTGCTCCAGGTTGGTGTTCTACCACTTGAGCCACAGCTCCACTTCTGGTATTTAGGCGGTTAATTGGAGATCAGAGTCTCGTGGCCTTGCCTGCTTAAGCTAGCTTGGATTCTCAGATCTCAGCTTTCTGAGGAAGTGGAACTACAGGCACCCACCACCTGGTCTTTCTACTTCTTTCTAAGGAATGAATTGGGGAGGTGTGAGCAACCCCTCCCCCATACAGCCTTGCATACTTTGCTACTCTCTGAAGCACAGTTGTTCTCCAAAAGTTCATTCTTAACATTTCAAACGTGCTTTAGATTTTCCCTTAGGTTGATTAATCATAAAAGCATTAGAAGCCTTTCCAGGCAAACTCCACCTGACTGCTGCTTCTTTGCTATTTCCTTTCCCCTGATCACAGGGCTTTGGTACACGTATTTGCTTATATTTGGAACAGTGGCACACAGAAGGGTTTTTGCTTAGGTTTACCCAGAATCAGCTTTGGCAACAATATACCTTGAGACACATTTGCTGCCTCTATTCATTTGCTGCTCAGTGGAATAAATAGGATAATGAACCACTAAAATGAAGCATCACAAGCTTTATACACCTCAGAGTAAGCCCTGCTCAGTACTGATAAAGCATTTAATAATACTCTGAAACCTTGAGACTTTAAGTTTAGGTTTGAGATACTTGAATGAGTAAGAAAAGCCCTACGTGGAAACTGATATCTAACCATTTTTGTCCCTTCAAAGATAAAAATCAAAGAAGTTGTACAATATTCAGGAGAAGCTATCAAACAGCTTTCACCTCTGTAGATCTGAAGACTCTGACAGAGTGTCTCCCAAAAGGCATCTGTTTTTTGTTTTTTAAAAATACGGAATGCTTCATGAATTTGCATGTCAGCCTCGCACAGGGGCCATGCTAATCTCTGTATTGCTCCAATTTTAGTGTATGTGCTGCAGAAGTGAGCATGAAAGGCATCTTTTTTTATTTGGCATATCAAGCTTGAAGGATTGAATCCTGCCTTATTCCCCAGGGTCAAGCAAAGCACCAGGGGTGTACGCATGTGCTTGTCCATGGGCAGGTCATTCTGACCTTGGCCCCCAAGAGGCAATGGCCCCCACACCCAGCTTCTCCCATACCCCGCTTCTACTGTGGGCCTGGCCAAGGACAGTGCCCTGGGCCTCCAAGAGACCATTGTTCATTTTTTATTCTCTGCCCACCCCAAAATATAAACCCACTCCAAAATCCAGTCCCCTTGTACAACCTCCAAACCAGCAGGAAGGTCTGTGCCCCTAACTGTTCCTCAATAAACAGTCCTCACCTGTTGAGGATTGAGTCTGGCCTGTTCCATTTCCATTCTCCTCCATTTTCCCAACAAAGCTCATTTAAAGAATTTTCAGTTCTGGTGTGATGGCTGATGCCTGTAATCCTAGCTACTCAAAAGGCTGAGACCTGAGGATTGTGGTTCAAAGCCAGCCTGGGAAGAAAAGTCTATGAGACCCTTATTTCCAATTAAACACTAAAAAAAAAAGCCAGGAGTAGAGCTCTGACTCAAGTAGTAGAATACTAGCTTTGAACACAAATGCTCAGGGACAGCACTCAGGAGCTGAGTTCAAGCCCCAGGCCCAGCACAAAAACAAACCAAAGCAAGAATTTCAATTTTGAAGCCAGGCTCTGGTGGCTTACGCCTGTAATCCTACCTAAGTGAGGAGGTTGAGGTCTAAGGATTGTGGTTCAAAGCAAATCCAGGCAGAAAACTATGTGAAACTCATCTCTGATTAACTAGAAGAAAGCTGGAAGTGGAGGCATGACTCAGGTGGTACAGCAGTAGCCTTACATTAAAAAAAAAACAACAAAAAACCAAGCCAGAGGTGAGAGGTGCTGAGTTCAAGGGCCAGTACCAGGACTCAGTTTTGTTTTGTTTTTGTTTTTTTCAGTTATGGGGCTCGAACTGAGGGCCTGGGTGATGTACCAGGGCTTTTGTGCTCAGGCTAGCATTCTTCCACTTTGAGCCACAGCTGGACTTCCAGTCTTCTGGTGGTTAACTGGAGATAAGAGTCTTACAGAGTTTGCTGCCCAGGCTGGCTTTGAACCATGATCCTCAGATCTCAGCCCTCTGAGTAGCTAGGATTACAGGCTTGAGCCACCAGTGCCTGGCTCATTTTGAATAGCATTAATTACTACAGAATTACGTGATAGAATATGTCTAATGTCACACTATCAGTCTCCTTAAACCTGTTCTCTCATTCTCCTTTATTTATATGAAGAAAACACTTGGAACTTTATCCTGTTGGTATGTAGCTAAAGCTCAGTATTTTAATACTGTGTATATCTGTTTTCTGACCAATGTTGTTAATTTATGTTCCAGTGCACTTGTTTTACAGATAACTAAACTTCCAAGGACACTTACACAAAGATGAGAATAGGCCAGGCACCAGTGGCTCACACCTGTAATCTCAGCTTAATCAAGAAGCTGAGATTTAAGGATCCCCATGCAAAGACACTCTGGGCAGACAAATCTAAGAGACAAGTATCTCCAGTTAACCAGCAAAAATCCAGAAGTGGAGGTGTGGCTCAAGTTGTAGAGCGCCAGCCTCCAGGATAAAAGCTAAGCAAGAGTGTGGGGCCCTGAGTTCAAGCCCCATTACTGGTGGTGGGGGGGGGGGGGGAGGAGGGGGAGGATGGAAGATTAGAATAGACTTTGTTGGCACACACAAGAAATATTTGGCTTAGGAAATGTATACATACACACACATTCCTTTAGCAAAGCTACAACTAATTAAGTCAGCAATTTTTGAAAAGAAATATTCCTGCGTTCTTATGTTCACATATTTGACGATGTTTTCAACAGCTTAGAATTATGTGTAAAAACCTAAGCAATAAAATATGTTTTGTAAAGAAAAGATGTTTATGTTAGAAACAAAGCTCATAACAAGTAACACATTTTAGGTAATGAAAGTAAGTCTGGGCGATGCAGGGACGGTTGGGTGATGGGATTGGATTAGGTTGAACCTCACGCTGCTGCGTTGCCTCCTCTGTCCCCCATTCCAGCCTCACCCCTCCCATGGCACTGGCTCTCCACCACCCTTGCTATCACCACTGGGAGAGGGGAGGTGGTGGCGATGGTGGAGGCCACCAATCTATGGTAGAATATGGGGATCATGCGTTGCCATGAACATTTAACAGTTGGAAAAATGGGTTGAGAACAACCAAATCACTTGACAAAACTTAACAAAACCATCTTGAATGTTGGGGTCTTCTTTCCTAAGACTCACCTTTCCTTCCTTCCTTCCTTCCTCCCTTCCCCCTCTCCCTTCCTCCCTCTCTCCCTCCCTCCTTCCATTCCTTCCTTCTTTCCTTCCTGTTTCCCTCCCTCCCACCCTCCCTCTTTTTCTCTCTCTCTCTCTTTTTCTTTCTTTTTTTTTTTTTTTTTTGAGTCCGGTTGTGGGGCCTGAACTCTGGGCCTGGGCACTGTCCCTCAGCTCTTCAGCTCAAGGCTAGCGCTCTACCACTTGAGCCACAGTGCCACTCTGGCTTTTTTCTTTTTGCTTATGTGGTGCTGAGGAATCGAACCCAGGGCTTCATGCATGCAAGGCAAGCGCTCTACCACTGAGCCACCTTTCCAGCCCCTTTCTTTCTTTTTCTTTTTTCTTTCTTTCCTTCCTTCCTTCTTTCCTTCCTTCCCTCCCTCCCTCCTTCCCTCCTTTCTTCCTTCGAACCTCCTTCCCTCCTTTCTTCCTTCCCTCCTTCCTTCCTTCTTTCCTTCCTTCCTTTCTTCCTTCCTTCCTTCCTTCCTTCCTTCCATTTCTTTCCATGAGGATATTTGGGATTAAGCTCAGGTTGGCACTATCTTTTAGATTTTTTCACCTAAAGCTAAAACGGTATCATTTGAGCCATAGCTCTCCTTCTGGAGTTTTGCTGGTTAATTGGAGATAAGTCTCATGAATTTATATTCTTGGGCTGGCTTTGAGCCAAGACTCTCAGATCTCAGCCTTCTGAGTACTTAGGATTACAGGCGTGAGCCACTATCCCTGGCTCCCCAAGGCTCTTTCTATCATAGATCTGTTCAAATAAGGTGCCATGCTTAACTCCAGCTGAGGAAGTGCACAGTATTCTTCTGTCTTCTTGCGCTTGGGACCAGCAGCAGCAGAATGGCAGGAGCCTGTCTTTCAGTAAACTCCAACAATGAAAACACTTCCGTGTTCCATGTCTGGGAGCCCCGACGGCAATCTGTGGCTCACAAGTGCATGTCACTGGAGAAAGCCAGGGGGAAAAAATCAGCGTTCTAATATTCGAAAGATGCAAGACAGCTGAAGGATAAAAAAAATCAGAAAACCCAGGGCCAGCACAGGAAGCAAAGCCACTTTCATTTGAAGAATTATGGGGTAATTGTTTCTTTCTCTTTGTTTCTGTGAGTGAAACTTAAGAGGGATTAAGTGAATGGTGTTGGATTCCAGACCACAACAGATACTATTCTACTGCATTCATTGTCCAATTATCTCATCATCTGGAGACAAACTCATTGAAATTGTGCATAGCAACAGGTGAGGCAGGCTGTACCAAGCAAAAATCTCAAATAGTCAAAAATCACCTCAAGGAGAAATGATGGTTGTGATATCTTTTCTTTGTAGTACTGGAGTTTGAACCCAGAGCCTGGTGCTTGCGAGAGCGGTACAATACAGATGAATCATGTCTCCAGTGCTATTTTTCACTGGTTATTCTTGAAACAGAGTCTCATTTCCTGTCTTGTACATGCCTGCAATGCAATCCCCCTAGGGTAGGCATTGTATTTATTGGTGCATGCCATTGTGTCTGGCTTCCCTCCGTGGAGAGGGAGTTGGGGTGTGGGGACTTTTCTACTAATCTGGCTTGGAACCTCACCCCTCTGATCTCACTTTCCCACATAGCTCACACTACTGCACCTAAGTAAGATAGAGAAGGGGTCTTGAGAGCTTTTCTACCTGGGATGTCCTTGGAACTGTGATCCTCCTGTTTTCAGCCTCCCAAGTAGCTGGGATTATAGGCAGGAGTCACCAGAACCTGGCTGGAAATGACTTTTAGTGACCTTCCTCTCTTGTCATTACAACAAAAATGTCAATGTGCAAAGTAAGAAAACACAAGGATAAATAACCTTTGCAATTATGGTTTATGTATTTCAGATACATATAACATACAATACGCATATATGTATGTTTACTTAATACTTTTAATACTTAATGCATTTAATGCTCTTTTATTATATGCCACTTTCAATGAACTTTCTGTGAATTTGTTTCCAATTCACAATAATTTAATTCTCTTCTGTAATGTTATTTTGTGTGTGCATGTGTTTATGTGCACACACATGTGCTTATGTGTGTGCCGGTTGTAGGGTTTTTTTTGTTTATTTAAGGCTAGCACTCTCACACTTGAGCTATAGCTCCAGCTTTCTTTTCTCTTTCTCCTTTCTTTTTCTCCTTTCTTTTTTTTTTTGGGGGGGGACGAGTCCGGTCGTGGGGCTTGAAGTCTGGGCCTGGCCGCTGTCCCTCAGTTATTCAGCTCAAGGCTAGCGCTCTACCACTTGAGCCACAGCGCCACTTCTGGCTTTTTTCTTTTTGCTTATGTGGTGCTGAGGAATCGAACCCAGAGCCTCATGCATGCAAGGCAAGCAGTCTACCACTGAGCCACCTTCCCAGCCCATCTTTTTTTCCTTCCTTCCTTCTTTCCTTCCTTCCTTCCTTCCTTCCTTTCTTTCTTTCTTTCTTTCTTTCTTTCATTCATTCTTTCTTTCTTTCTTTCTTTCTTTCTTTCTTTTCCTTCTTCCTTCTTTCCTCCCTTCTTCCCTCCCTTCTCCTTCCTTCCTTCCTTCCTTCGTTCCTTCGTTCCTTCGTTCCTTCGTTCCTTCCTTCCTTTCTTGAGATAAGAGTCTCACAGACTTTCCTGCCAGACTCTTGAGTAGCTAGGATTATAGGTGTGAGCCACCAGTAGTT